TGAGAGAGGGAAGAAGAAGGGAATAGGACGAAAGTGTGATAGAGATAGAGACGTCTCATTATTAAGTGCATAATTGGCGTGGAAGAGAAGCATTGTCGTTGATACTGGTTTGAGCTACTAATCCGTAACTAACAATTCTCCCCCCCCCTCTCCCCTCTTGTATCCTGCTCGCAGCCGACGGAGAAACATCACAGAGAGAGGCCCGAGCAATCGTCGCCTTTGAACGAGTCCGTGGTGTCCGCGGCCTCAGCGCTCAACAGACTGGCGGCCAGCAACGGTGAAATCACGATCACGACCACGCACGGGCCGAGCGGCGCCGGGGTGAAGGCCTCGCCGAGCAGCATGCACAATCCCAAAAAGGAGGAGGAGGATCTCAATGATTCGCCTAGTAAGATCATTCCTTCTTTTTCTTTCTTTTTTTCTTTTTTTTTTTTCCTTTTCTTTTCTTTGCAACACTCGACTAAACTTGGAAGAACATTTTTCTTTAACGACTCGGGATCAAGAGTGACGTGGACAGTAGGCAATTAGGCGGTAATAGTGTCGAATAGATGAAACGTCGAAACGTTGGAAACGGCGTGAAAGTTTCAGCAAGGATGTCGTTGAATCATTCACTCAGCTCATTCGTTCATGTTTCCATCGTATTACTCGACAATTAGAATCGGTAAACAATCGAAACGAACATCGATCGGAGTGGAGTTTTTCAACGGGAATCCATCAAGAATAGATTCCACTGTATGCCGCGCGCGCGCGGAATCGATCTGTTCGTTCGACGAACGCTTCAATCCGACACAATCCGATAATCACGTTACAATAGGCAACGGCGGGCTATAGGCGGGATCGTTTATTTAGCAGGAAGTAAAAATAAGGAAGTGTCGTTACAAAATTAAACGATTCTCTTCGCTAGCACGAATTCGCCCCGAATTACGTTTCCTTCCTAAGGAAGAGGATACAACGTTTAACGCACGGTCAAAGCCGATAAATAATAACGTCGTCGGCTCGAGCGCCGCGCCGCCAAGCTCTTAATAATCCTAATAGGATATCGTACAATGCACGGCTCATTACGGTGTATTAGATCGTTGCCTCGCTGCCTTCTGCGAAGCCATAAAGATTCACGGGCTGCACGTAGTTGGCATACGCGCGCAACGCTCGCGAACAAGCCAACGGCAGAACAATAATTTTAATAATTCACAATCATCGCCCCGGCTGGCAGTTCGTCGTCCCGCGGGCGACGATCAGAGCAACGCTGTGCGTGTGTCGGACGTATCGAGCCTAACGATTCTCAATTGCCTGCCGTTGCTCGATAAATCTGCGCCTCTCTGTCGAGACCTATCCTCGCGTTGATCTTTCAGCCGATGATTCGTGAAATTTAAAAGAGCAGGCTACGTGCTTTCGACTGTTTCGTTTATTTCGAGCGCGGCCAACAGCGATCGATAACGGACGAGAGCAAACTTTCGTTCACGAATTCTCTGGAAGTTCTCATCGGAGAACGATTCCTTCGCGTTCCTCGAAACGGGGCAAACCAGGCACAAGGATATCGTGGCCGTGGCGTTTTTGTCCGCGCCGGTGGCTCGATTGCAGGAATTAACGATCAAGCAGAGATTTAGCGTGCCGCGCGGAGGAAGGAGTCGCGCAGTTTATTGCGCGGCGCGGAAAGCCAACCTGGTGGCCAGAGAGATCGCCAGAGAGGCATGTGGGCACCTCTATCGCGTGCGTGTACATTCGGCGTTGACAGATTTACGAGTGAAATCGGTGTAGCTGAAGCTGCTTTAGGTACGAAGCCGCCTGCTCGGTGTCGTTAGACGATCTCTCTGCCTCGATGAACGAATCCCGCGCCAGATCGATCGAGAATTCCTTCCGATCAGAACCGAACTAGAAAAGAAAGGGATCACTGGATCATCGACGTGAATTACGTTTTCCTAGTATCACTTTAAGATCACTTTACTTTTCACTTTGCTTTCGGGATATTCTTCTTTTGTCGAGAGCCGAGAGAGAGAGAGAGACCATCAATGGAAAGATTCCGCAACTATAATTGCAGATCAGCCGACGATCAACGAGGCGACGAACAACGTAGTCGATGGCATCAATCTGGACGAGATCAAAGAGTTCGCGAAGGTGTTCAAGTTTCGCAGACTGTCGCTGGGTCTGACGCAGACCCAGGTAGGGCAGGCCCTGAGCGTGACGGAGGGGCCAGCTTACAGCCAAAGTGCCATATGCAGGTGAGTGTAGGACCGTGGTCGTCCTCTGATCGTGTGTTTTTTCCTCTTGTTTTATTCTATTCTTTTTTTTTATTATTTTTATTATTTTTCTTTACATTATCTTCATTATTCTCTTGCTATGACGAGTAACTTGAAAACGGACGTCGCTGATGAGACACAGAAATGGAAAACAAATGACAGGTGTTATTGATACGACAGTGTGCCAGGTCACTGGAAATGGCGAACGGGAAAAAAAAAAAAAAGAAAAGAAAAGAAAAGTGGATAGTCGGATATCTCTCGGTATAGTTCCCTGTCCGACTGCTACAACAGTCTTGACATACATTTCTAGACTACGCTGAATCTCGATGATGTCTTCTTTCCTTTCCGAGAATTCGGGGCTAAAGGGACTTATCGCGTCCTTTTGTTCCGTCCTACGTCTGAATTAAATTGGTCGCGAAATCCTGACTCTCGTTCGCTGCTCTCTTTCGCCTCTCTTGTCTTCTGCTTCGCGTTTCTCTCGAGGGAAAATATACGCGAAGAGGCAAACGTCTGTTCGCGAGAGCGTGCGTTCGTTGTTACGTTCTTCTTCTTCTTTTTTTTTTTCTTTTTCTATTTTTATACTTTGGCATCATGACGAAAAGAGAGTGAAAATGGCAACCAGTCCCAGGCATCCACAATTAACTTTCGACGTGGAATTCAAATGAGAGAGAGGAAGAGAGAGAGAGAGAGAGAGAGAGTCAGTCGTCGCAAATACTCGTATCGCGTATGCCTCGAGTATCATTTTTCGAGTACAGATTCCGAGAGAGAACGTCATTGAATTTTCATGTGATCGTACTCTGTGAGAAATGTATAATGTCTATAATCTGCCACGGTGGTTCCTGGAAAGCCCTCGCGTTTCATTGCTGCAAGTATAGCGACTCGCAAAAGAGTTTCGGGCGTGTCCGAGTTTTCTCGACCCTCTGACCTCCCCCCCCCCTCCACCTTTTTGACAAACTTTTCATTTTCCGTGAAAGAGAAACGTACGTTCTAGAATAACGAAAGGAACCACGGTGGTAATGCTGGTGGCAAGTAGAAACACTGTTTCTACATCCATATAGTATTGTTAACGACTAATTTAAGCATTGGTGATTGTTCCCCAGTGCCCTGGCTACCCAGATGTACGCTGCCTCGCAGATTGCCTCTCAGCAGCAAGCTACGTACGTTCACCCCTCATGCTATTTAATTTACCTAAAAATCTAAAACTTTTTCAAATCCTCTTGGAAGCATAGCAGTTATACCCAAGCATGTGAATTCCGTACATACATTTGGTATCGTCGTCGTGTGCATTATGTTAAAAGTGCGTACGAGTAGCTCGGAATGAGTGTTCCTCGATCGAACGTCGATCCCTCGGACCGATTTCG